GGAGAGCAGAAAAGGATGCCCCAGAGGGAGGGAAAATGCTCTCACCAAAAGATGTGAAAGAGGATCAGTGAGATGGATCAGAGAGGGCCCACTTGTGTTTGTGAAGTGGATGGACACACGGGAGGTGTCTGTGTGCTCCACCATCCATCCTGCATTTTCAGGTGACACAGTGCGGAGAAGGGTGAAGGACAGAGATGGACGCTGGGCTGTGCGAGACTTTCCCTGTCCCACACCAATCGTGGCCTACAACCAGAGTATGGGTGGGGTTGATCTGTCAGATCAGCTCATACAGTATTACTCCACCCACAGAAAAACTGGTCACTGGTACAGGACCATGTTGCTGCACTTCTTGGACATTGCAACAACAAATGCCTTCATCTTGCACCGTGAGATGAGCAATGCCAAGCAGGTGCAGCCCATGACACATAAAGATTTCATGGTGGAGCTGGTGAGTCAGCTTTGTGGCATGGACAAGGAAGGTGTTCCTCAGAGCAGGAGAGCTGATCATGTTCCTGTGCCCATTGTCACAGCCACAGATGCAAGCCAAAAAGCCACAAAAGGCAGACAGAGGTGCAAACATTGCCTCCAGGTGGACAACAGGAGGAGTGACACACCCTGGAAGTGTCAGGCCTGTGATGTGCCCCTCTGTGTTGTGGTGGACAGGAACTGCTTTTCAGAGTGGCACAAATAAGTTGTGTGGCATCTGATTGTTTTGTAAATAGTTGTAAATAGTTGTTCAAAAAACGCCTGAGGCATTGCCTGCATTTTCATGTAAATAGTTATATATAACTTTGTTGTTTGCTAAATTTGTTCATCCATTCTAAGTTACAAAAATGGTTCGTTAGACATGTTTGTGGTCTTTACAGTCAAAAATCAAACTTTTTCCTACTCAGATTTTATGTTTTAAGTGTGATTTTAGGTCCAGTGTGTTAATACAGTATGTCAAAATGCAAAATAATTGTAAAGTCATACAGTTGAGGTTGTGCTGAAAAGAATGATACCAAACAAGGCAAGGTTAACAGTTTTTTAAGGTGAAATTTAAAGGTAAAATGAAAAGTAGTCAAAAACGGCCAATTATCCCCTAGACCCCAATACATACTTTCAACATATTGTACCACAGTAGCCAGAACTATAATTATAATATTATTACTTTCAATAATGTTGTTGTAAGCTACTGTCATTACCTGCATCTCTCTCTCTCTCTCTCTCTCTCTCTCTCTCTCTCTCTCTGTCTCATTGTGTCATACCCATTACTGTTAATTTATTATGCTGATCTGTTCTGTACGACATCTGACATTGCACGTCTGTCTGTCCTGGAAGAGGGATCCCTCCTCAGTTGCTCTTCCTGAGGTTTCTATCGTTTTTTTTCCCTGTTAAAGGGTTTTTTTTGGGGAGTTTTTCCTTATTCACTGCGAGGGTCATAAGGACAGAGGTCGTATGCTGTAAAGCCCTTTGAGGCAAATTGTGATTTGTGATACTGGGCTTTATAAATAAAATTGATTGATTGATTGATTGATTGATTGATTGATTGATCCTCTCTGAGTGCTGACCACGAGGAGGCTGATGCACGACTGATTTTGCACTGTATCCAGGCTCCTATGGACACAATAGTCGTGTCAGCACGTGACACAGACGTGCTTCTTTTACTTCTAGCACACCATGACAGAATCGGATGTACCCATCTCTACATGAAAGCCGGGACATCAAAGGATCCAAAGTATTTGCCAGTACATGACATTCGCAAGTTACTATCTGATGATCAAGTGGACACACTCCTTGCCTTCCATGCCATCACTGGCTGTGATAGTGTGTATCAGTTCAGTTCAAGTAACATCACACCAATCTTACTGGCCTTGTGAAGGGCCCTCTCACAGAAGATATTGTGAATTCAACAGAGAAATTCATCTGTAAGATGTATGGTGTGCCCGAGGTTGATACATGCAACAAAGCAAGAGTGAAGTTGTTTTGCAAAGGTCTCCAACCTCAGATGCAGTGAAGTTTCATATCATGCGTTCACACTATCAAGCGGCAGTCTGGAACCAAGCTCACCTGCCACATCCTGATCTTCCTCCAGTGGATGAAATGGGATGGATGCACAAGGAAGGTCAGTTAGTGCCACGGCTACTGTCTCTGCCACCTATGCCTAAAGCCTGCAGAGAGTTCACTTCATGTGGGTGTACCAAGGGATGCCTCAGCCAATGCTGCAGCTGCAGGTATGCGTATAGGGGATTAGCTGATGTTGATCAATGTGTACAAGATGGTACAAATATGATAGACTGGTATAACATCAGCCTGCCAGACTGCATATAATACTGCTGACTGTTTGTTATTAACACATTGTGGAACTCATAACCTGATAATTGTGAACCAATAACTGAGGAAAAAAGTAACAAAGGAACAGAATAAGCGTAAGGATAACTGTAACATGTATTCCAATGTACCTGTACTTGCACTGGTTGTAATCTTTCTATTCTGTTCTACTCAGAAAGAGTCAAATGGAATGTATAGAAGCATTCAACTGCAGGAAACTTGACAACACTTGCCAGAACACTGAAGAAGACTGTGAATAAGCTGTCACTGTGAGGATAACTGTACCAAGTATTCCAATATACATTTACTTCTACTGGGATAAAATATGATTTCTATTTTATTCTATAATAATATATTCTATTCTATTCTGTTCTATTCTATTCAGGAAAAGTGACATGGAACCTCCTGGAATACTGAGGATGACAGCAAAGAAGTTCATGTAACTCCAGTGTCAATACTGTATAATGACTGTATATGCATGATATTCTAACAGTAAATATGCAAAACAAAAGAGTTAAATGAATAAAACCATCACCTGTATCATCCTGCTTTTGGATAATATTTGATTGACAACTTATTTATCACTAATGACCAACTTTTTCGCTATACTTGTATGATTTTCAAGCTGATTATTGACATTTGATGTAAATCAGGACAGGATGTTAGATTCCCCATGTGTGAAAACCTGTGAAAACACATTTAATTCAAGTTTGGATTTCAAGCACATCACAACACTGAGACTGCACTTGTAAAAGTTTAAAATGACATTCATCTGAGGAGTGATGCATCAAAGATTTCGGTTCTGGTATTACTGGACCTCAGTGCTGCATTCGACACAATAGACCATAAGATACTGCTAGACAGACTAGAAAAGTTTGTGGGACTTTCTGGCACTGTGCTAAATTGGTTTAAATCTTATTTACAAGACAGGGATTTCTTTGTGTCACTTGGCAATTATGAATCTGTGCGAACAAAAATTACATGTGGAGTTCCTCAAGGGCCTCTTCTGTTCAACATCTATATGCTCCCTGTTACACCCACAAACGTAATAACAGCCCACAAATGTAATAAACCACAAATGTAATACAAATCTACAGCTTTGAATGTAATAATCCCTCAAATGTAATAAATTTCCCACAAACGTAATAGCAGCTGCCTACTACAAACATAACACACAATTTTCCGCAAATGTAATAACTATTACATTTGAAGGAAATTATTACATATGTGGGAAGGTGAAAATCTAAACTGTAATAACTTCCCACAAATGTAATATGAGACTGAATAATGATCTTTGTGGTTGTTGTTGTTTGTTTACTTATACACCTGCCAATAGTGATGCGTGTGTTGACAAGCAACCCGCAGGTCGGGTGGGGCGGGTCAGAAAGTGACAGAGCAGCGTTCTGAGTAAGTTAGAAATAACTTACAGAAACACACACACACAC